CTCTTGGGAGCATCCCGGGGGCATCTTGGGGCCTCATGGGGGCTTCTTGCGACCTCCTGAGAAGCGCAAGTGAGCGCTACCCCCTCAGAAGGACAAAATGAGGCCAAAACCTTCGTAAAATCAATAATTTTGAGAACAAGGAGCAGCAGCGCTGGCCCCTCAGACGGCCAAAATGGGGTCAAAACCGTAGTAAAATCAAGGATTGTGGCTTCAGAGAAGAGGAGAGCATTTTTTCGTGGTCCCCCCGACGGGGCCAGAATCCTCGTGAGGGTCGTCGTTTTTTGGCCCTCCCAGGGGTTGAAAAAGACCCCTCTGACCACCCGCGGGGCGACCTCTCCAGGCCCAGGGGGAGGGGGTAGGGGGAGGGGTAAACCCCTCCTCGAAGGGGAAGAAGGGGGGTTGGGGGGTTGAGGACAGAGAGAGCTCTCTAAACCACTCACGCCCAAAGGGCTGGTGGGATTAGGAGCCCTGCTTGATTTTGACTTCGAGAACAGAGGCAGGTGGTCAATTGCGATCGTAGACGACACCCCCCACATCAAAGCGTACACCAGCAAGCGCCGCAATCCGATCAGCCACGACGGCATACGCAAATGGATATACGTGGCAAAAGAGGACCTGTTCAAATTCAAAGCAGGACCACACACGCCTGCAAGACAGCCGTCGAATTCAATAAAGAAAAAGAAGCTACAGCCGCCTGGAGAAGACGCATTACAGACATGTGCGACGGCACCACCACCCCGACGCCTGACATCGAAGCCACCCAACATGATTGCAGGTATCTGTGTTGCGAATGCGGGCAAATCGTGAGCGGCAAGGCGGCGCGCCAGAAGCGCATGCACGCTAAGCGCAGCCCGCAGGAAACTATATAATCAATTATATCCACGGGGCTACATGCCAGTTCTGTGCGAAGGAGTGCGGGACGGCCAACCGACAGTATAAGCACATGTGCGCCAGCAGACAGTGCACACCACTTGCCATGAAGTTCAGCAAGCAGCTCGGCGACGACGAAGCCAACGACCTACCCGAGGAGATAAGGCACATACGACGGACCAACAAAAACAAAGGACTACCCGAAGACTACGCAGAAGGCCCTTGCTTACAACTCCACGGACCACCACTCGCACGAAGAACAGGCGCGGACGACGAACGTACTGCGATGGTTCCTGCGCCAGTTCCCCTGTCGCCGCAAGCAGATGAAGAGCAGGACGAGCGGCGAGGACTGGTGGAAAATGCCCAGGCAAGCGATCGTCGCCTACGCCGCACGCGGCACGACACAATCGACGGTGATACGTCGGGGGCAGGCAACGACAGGCCACATCGGACATCATCGTTTCCGAGCACTACCGACCAGAATGCCACCAGCGACGATACTATACGCACCGTCGACGGCATCGAGCAGCAGGCAAACCAACAACACCGACGAGTACGCATACTTACTGTAGCGAACCACGCGTGCCAGACGCACAACGACAGAAGTCCCGACTACGACACCAACGCTATTCACGAAGCTATACGGAATGATACAATTGACGCCATTTACTACAAGGAGTCCACACCGAGCCTCGACAACAGCAAACGACTTCGCGACGAGCAACACCCGTGGTGAAGAAGAGACTCCAGCTGAAAACACTCAACGACGATCATGGGTGACAACGCGAAGATACGTGACGATATCTTCCTCATATACATGTGCCTTGCCATACCACGGCCTGCTGGATGAACATCGCACCGTTCGCGATCACCGCCCCCCACGAGCTACAAGACTTGACGGGCCACAACCTCGTCACCGTGACCGACGCCAGTGACGCCGACGACGACGCAACGCGAATCTTGGCGGCAGCGCGCGAAAGCAGTAACAACGACGCACAACAGACAGGCAGTTTAACTGAATTCGTGAGTCACCAGGACCGCTACATCGAAGAAAGCGAACACGAGCAGCCAACCCAACATCAGGATGCGAGATTCCCAGTGGGTACCAGCTTCGAGCGGGTGCCGCCATACACTACCACAGGTACCAGACAGCACAGGACACAGCAGGGTGGAAACTACGACTATTCCCAGAACCACTACGACGTCGAATACGAGTACCACCGCGACCAGCGCCCCCTCGACGGCAACTTCAACGCGACAGCGGCGAAGAGCAACACTGACGAGGAGGAGGACTACGACGGCTGCTCACCACAGCGCGCTGCGCCGAAGGGTGGCGTCAGCCCCATGTGCTCCCGCAGCGCCGCTGTCGCCGAAGGGCGGGGGACAGGGTCGCTCCAGAGAAGCAGACAACAGCTGCAAAGCGGAGCCGCAGGCCCCCCGCCTGGGCCCATGCCCATACGAGGGGCTCACGAGGGTCCCCAACGACAACAGCACGAACACGCCCAAGAGCTACGCCAACCCCGTGCAGAACAGGGTCGAGAACGCCCCCTCGGCGGTGAGCGTGCCGGCCCCCAAGTGCACTCTAGGGGGTGCAGGGGGCCGCGAGGGGGGCGAGGTCGACCGCAACGACTTGCACCTGGCTCCGCGGGGGCCGCACGCAGGGGGCCGAGCCGCACCAGGATCCATAGCCCTCCCCCTCATTGGCCCTGGAGGCCCTTCCCCTTGTCCCCCCCCTTGGATACCCTGGGCGCTCGTCCGCCTCGCAGTGGCATGTGGGCCCCCTCCCCGTTCCCCCCCAGTCGTTTCTATTATGGGTTCCGCCTTGTCTCTCTCCTGTCGGGGGGGGGACGGCCCACCCATGCACGAGAATTTGGCCTCCCCATCGCCTCCGCGTCGAACGCGCGAGATGGAGGTCGTCTCCCATTATGGAGGTGATGGTTGGGGGGCTATGTGACCTAGGCTTCGGGTTTTTGTTTTTTGTCGGTCCCTTGGGCCCCGCCTCCCTTCCCCTTCCCTGTGACTCTCTGAGGCAGTTTGCGTTTTCCTTCTTGTCCTTTGGCGGGGTTTGGGGTCCCGAGGCTGTTCCCTGAGGCCCCCACCCTCTGCCTCAACCGCCCGACTGAGGCAGAGGGCGGGGCACAGGTCGTGACTGCGTACACGGCGCATGTCCGAGCTCGCATTCGCGGTGCCCACGCGCGCGGCGCGGGCGCCTCGGGGTTTCGCGGACAGACCGTGCGCGGCCCGCAGCGCCAGGAAAAGGGGGGAGGAGGAGGAGGGGGGAGGAGGAGACGGGAGGAGGAGGAGGAGGAGGAGGAGGAGGAGGAGGAGGAGGAGGAGGAGGAGGAGGAGGAGGAGGAGGAGGAGGAGGAGGAGGAGGAGGAGGAGGCGGAGGAGGAGGAGGAGGAGGAGGAGGAGGAGGAGGAGGAGGAGGAGGAGGAGGAGGAGGAGGAGGAGGAGGAGGAGGGGGAGGGGAGGGGGAGGGGGAGGGGGGGAGGAGGAGGGAGGAGGAGGAGGAGGAGGAGGAGGAGGAGGAGGAGGAGGAGGAGGAGGAGGAGGAGGAGGAGGAGGAGGAGGAGGAGGGGGAGGGGGAGGGGGAGGGGCAGGAGGAGGAGGAGGAGGAGGAGGAGGAGGAGGAGGAGGAGGAGGGGGAGGAGGAGGAGGAGGAGGAGGGCAAGGGTCGCCTCGACCCCGACTGGGAAGGTGAGTTTACGCTAACGCTTTCAAAGCGTTCCTCGGAACTGCCGCACGTGGCGGCTGGCCCCAGCGGGCCCCACCGCTGCAGCCTCCGATCGGCCGCCCGCCCGCGGACGACGAGGTCTCGATTGGTCCAGATCTCTGGGGGCACTCGGAGGAGGAAAGGGTGCCCATACCTCTACCCTTCGCCCGTTTTTCCCTTTTCTGGGCATTCTCGAGATGTGGGGTCGCAGAGATCCTCGAATCACCCTCACCGAACTTATCCTCGTCGTGGCTTCAACTCAGCTTGCCCGTCTGGGGCGTTCCTCGTCGCCACCGCGGTGCCCAACATTGGCGTGGAGCGCGTGAAGGAGAAAGGATGGAACAACAACTGTGCCAGAACGCTTTTTCTAAATTATGCAAGGGCGCCTTCGAAGATGCGAAGTCATTATTCTTGCTTCGTGGTTCGATTCCGATTCCTCCTCATTCTCCTGTTTCCTTTGGGGGCGGCACGAGAGCGCGAAGCGCGAAACCAGGCGCCTTTCATTATGGATCCTCTTTGGCTTGAAGTTGAGATCCACTTTACCATCCCGCCCACATCCCGATCTTCCCTCTCCGCAGTGGGGCAGCGACCTGCTCAGCGGCGCGCAAGGCAGAGGCGGGAGTTGTCCGATGTGGCACTGGCCCCGGGTGCCCCTCCGTTTGAGTTGTTCCTTCCTGGAGCAACCGCGGAGCCGTCTGGGCCCCGTAAATGGTGCTTTGCAGGCATCTGGGCTTCCTTGGAAAAGCGGCGGCCGCCTCGGGCAAGGTTGAGGGGTTTCCGCTCCTCGTCTCAGTTCGTGGGAGGGTTCTCTTCAGGATCTGCCCATCCATCCACTGTTTGATGCCATCTAATATCCCCAGCATCGAGGGGGCAACCAGAAATCCCATGCCTCGAGGGGGGGCAGGCCTGAGATCACATGCACTCGAGGAGTGGGCGCGCGTCACCGCCTCGTCGCCGCACCGTGCGCTGGCTGACGTCCGAACCGAACATGTGGTACAACCATCTTGTGGTGTGTCGCTCCCCGAGCGGCACAGCCAGAAGGCGCCCGCCACGGACCAGAGCTCTTGCAGCACCCGAGGGATGCATGGGGCTCACATGGGGGGGGTCTCTGATCAAGGAGCGCTGCCCGGAAGGCAGGAGGGCGCCGATGTGGCGGGATCCGATATCTTGGCCAGCTTATCGAGCTGCGTCCAGTCGTGGCTACGAGAACGCCCCGTAGCGCCCAAAAGGCCTCCGAATCGAACGCGGCGACGTCGTCGTGCTTGTGGTCGTGGCTGTGGTCGTGGTCGCCCTGATCCTCCTCGTCGTGCGGCGACAAGTCTAGAACTGCTGCGACGCCGACGCCGTCAGTTGTCGCCGTCGTGTCGTCGCCTTGGTGAAGGTCGCCGTCGTCGTCGCTGTCGCCCTCCGCCAGCTCCTCGGGCACGCCTTCTTCGAGCAGGCGCTCTAAGGGGTGCCTCGGGCGCATCTTTCCCGAGAGCGGTGTGGCCTCGGCCGCCAGGCGCCGGCCCGCGCTCGCGCGCGCGCGCGGGGGGGACCTGGCGCTTCGTAGTTGGAGGGGTCCCAGGGTCCACCGTCTCGGGCGAAGAGAACTATGCACATGCACCGATCTTGGCCGGGCCCATCCTGGGCCCAGGATCGGTGCATGTGCCCTCCTGGCCAAGGCAGGATGGCGTATGCACCGATCCTGGGCTCAGGGTGGGCCTGGCCGGAATCGGTGTAAGTATGTGCATAGTTCTCTTTCCTCTAGCGACCCCCCCAGATGGGCGACGACGACGACGAGGAGGAATCAGCGCACGCGGCACGAGTCGTAAGTGTCAAGCAGTGGAGAAGCGTCCTGGCTCGCCTATAGCCCTACCAAACAATGTTCTAAGAACCTTTTGTGGTTTCCACGAAATGTTCTTAGAACATTTCTGGCGGAGTCTGTTCTGTTGTATCACATCGGGCTTATGTTCTAAGAACATTGTTTCTGTTCTTAGAACATTTTTGGGTTCCAAGAGCATTTCGTGGTAGGACTATAGGAATGCCGGGACGGTCGGTCCCTGCTCAAAAGTCGTGTTTGTCCCTCTACAGGAGGAATAGGAAGAAATAGTAAAAGATAGTCCGGGGACGATTTCTCGAGCATTGGTAGATTCTGTTATGGGATTGGTTGGGCATGCTTTGAATATCTCGGGGACTTTTCTGAGTATCTGTTTGGTTTTTTCGTTCAAAATCCTCCTGCAGGGGGACAGGCCCCGACCTGACACGAGTCCCGAAGGGTAGACCCCCACGGGTTTCACAGCAGCGCCACCCACGGCCACGGCAGGGGGAGGGGCCCCTCGGGGTGTCGATCGAGGACCGGCTTGGATCGCATCGTCGATCGCTCTTTTCCCCGGCGCCCTGGCTCAAGGGCCCTAAACGGCGGCGGAGGGGAGACAAGGAGAGACGAGGGGGAGGAGGAGGAGGAGGAGGAGGAGGAGGAGGAGGGGTGGAAGAGGAGGAGGAGGAGGAGGAGGAGGAGGAGGAGGAGGAGGAGGAGGAGGAGGAGGAGGAGGAGGAGGAGAGGAGGAGGAGGAGGAGGAGGAGGGAGGAGGAGGAGGGAGGAGGAGGAGGAGGAGGAGGAGGAGGGAGGAGGAGGAGGAGGAGGAGGAGGCGGAGGAGGAGGAGGAGGAGGAGGAGGAGGAGGAGGAGGAGGAGGAGGAGGGGGGAGGAGGAGAGGAGGAGGAGGAGGAGGAGGAGGAGGAGGAGGAGGAAGGAGGAGGAGGAGAGGAGGGAGGAAGGAGGGAGAGGAGGAGGAGGAGGAGAGGAGGAGGAGGAGGAGGAGGAGGAGGAGAGGAGGAGGAGGTGGAGGAAGGAGGAGAAGGAGGAGGAGGAGGAGGAGGAGGAGGAGGGGGAGGGGGAGGGGGGAGGGGGAGGAGGGGAGGGGGAGGAGGGAGGAGGAGGAGGAGGAGGAGGAGGAGGAGGAGGAGGAGGAGGAGGAGGAGGAGGAGGAGGAGGAGAGGAGGAGGAGGGGGAGGAGGAGGAGGAGGGGGAGGGGGAGGAGGAAGCAGAACAAGGATGAAGCCAGAGGTGAGACAGCTAAATGGTGTCAAAGGCTGGGCGGCTGACACCGGGGAGGGGGGGGGGCAATTTCCATCAGCTGCGGAGGGGGGCCCAGGCCCTGGACCATGCATCTGGGGGATGAAGCTGAAGTCGGGCTTGTGTCCCTCTACAGGAGGAACGTTCAAAAATAGTCAATGTTTTGACAATTGTTTGGTATTTTGGGGTATGTTTCGACTGTTTTTTATTTGTCTTCCAAGATCCCCTTGTAGGGGGGCAGGCCCGACTTACGATTAACCTTAAGTTGGGCCTGTCCCTCTAGAGGAGGAATACTCAAACATATTCCAAACATAATACGGGGACGATCGTCTGAACATTGTGGTTTGAGCATTTCGGGGGTACTTTTAAGTTTTCGCTCGAAATCGGCCTGTAGGGGGACAGGGCCGCCCTGAATCTGGGGGACAGGCCCGCCAACCGCCTGCCGAGCCGCCCGCCTGACCGCCGACCGCCCGCCAAGCTGCCACATGCTTCCGCTGAGCTTCCGCCGCTGCGTCCGCCGACCTGCCGCCGAGCCGCTGGGGCCGACTGAGGCGCCTGGGCTTGCAACCCAGACAAGGCAAGAGACCTCGTTGGACGGCTGCCGAAAGGGTCGGCCCTGCGGAAGGCCAGTGCAGGACAGGGGCCCGACGGCGCGGAGACGCACGCACGCATTCCGTCGCGTGGGTCGGGGACGGGCCCCATGATCCGTACAGATCGGCGCGCTCCTTCGCCCAATGGGGCAGCGGTTGCCCCATGTTTCGAGGGCTGCAGTCCCCTCCTCCCTCCTCCTCCTCCTCCTCCTTCTTCTCCTCCTCCCTCTCCTCCTCCTCCTCCTTCTCCTCCTCCTGCTCCCCCTCCTCCTGCTCCAGCTCCTGTTCCTCCGCCCTCTTTCTCCTCCTCCTCCTCCTCCTCCTCCTCCTCTGGGCTGCCGTGGATGTGGCGCCAACGCGCCACATCCACGGGTCCGAAAGACCAATCCATGTTAGCCAGCGTCTGAGAGGCACCCCCATTGGGACAGTGAACGTGCACGGGCAGAAACATTTCTAGAACGCTGCGCCCCTGAGCGTTGCGCGACATATCCAGGGGGCAGGGGCGGGATGGTAGATCCTGAACGGCTTCTGTTGACGATAATGCACGGCAGCCGCGGTGAAGATAGTAGCTAAGCTGGTGACGATGATGACAGTGACTACGGCGAGGCCGATGACGGCGCCGATGCTGATCACGCAGATGACGATGATGGTGTCCATGCGTCGGTGATGGAAGTTCAGGCAGGATTTCGACATGCCCGCGCGGCCGACGGGCGAGAGTGGGCCGCATGATATCGTTTGACAGTGATCGTGCCCCCCCGTCCAGCAAGCGCGCAAAGACCGTTTGAATGGTTTCGACATGCGCGCACGAGAGGTTCGCTTGGTCACGTTTGATGGAACGCATGGTGTGCGCAAGAATTCGCCAAAGAGCGCGCGCAGACTTTTTCGGAAACGTCACGTTGACAAAACCTTTTGTTTTGTTATTTCGAATATTGCCGGGAACCTCGAATCTCAAATCATTACGGAATCGTATAGTTGATTGACGGATGTCGGCGTGAGCGCGCGACGACGTGCGCGTGTGGATTATGTTGTATATGATGTAAAGGGATATTGGAAAGAGCGCGTTCTGTGGTCGCTTGGAGGTGGGGGGTGCTGGAAACGGACCCCCCCCCGATGGAGGGGGGGGGGTCGATACCCCCCTTCCCCTGATGGAGGGGGGGGGGTCGAACCCCCTTCCCCGTTCTCTCCCTCTCCTCGGGCTGGCGCCTGCGTCGGCGGCGGCTGGCGGCGGCGGCGGGGACGACGACCTACTTTTCTGGGCCGGCGCCTGCGCCTGCGGCGGCGGGCGGTTGCGGCGGGGAGCGTCGACGAAGACGACGGTGGTGGTGGTGGTGGTGGGTTGTGGTGGTGGTGGTGGCGGTGGTGATGGTTGTGGTGGTGGTGGTGTGGTGGTTTATTGTGGTGGTGGTGGTTGTAGTGGTGCGTGGTGGTGGTGGTGGTGGTGGTGGTGGTGGTGGTAGTGGTGTGGTGGTGGTATGGTGGTGGTTTGTGTTGGTGGTGTGGTGGTGGTTTGTGGTGGTGGTGGTGGTGGTGGTCGGTTGTTTTGGTGGCGGTGGTTTGTGGAAGTGGTGCTGGTGGTGGCGGTGGTGGTGGTGGTGCGGTGGTTTGTGGTAGTGGTGGTGGTGGTGGGTTGTGCTGCTGGTAGTGGTGGTGATTGTGGCGAAGGTGGTGGTGGTGTGGTAGAGTGTGGTGGTGGTGGTGGTAGTGGTTGTGGGTTTTTGTTCGTGGTGGTGGTGGTGGCTGTGGTGGTGGTGGTGGTTGCGTGGTGGGTTGGTGGTGGTGGCGGTGGTGGGTTGGGGTGGTGGTGGTGGTGGTGGTAGTGGTGGCGGTGGTGGTAGTGGTGGTAATCGTCGCTGCGTCCCCGGACGCCGGCGCCAGCGCCGGCGCTGCTGGGCGCCGCCAGCGCCGCGCCGGCGCCGGCGCCGGCGCCGGCGCGGGGGGGGTGTTGGACCCCCCCCCTTGGGCTGCCTCTGGTCATCATCGCTGCGTCCCCGCCGTCGGCGCTGCTGGCGGCCGCCAGCGCCAGCGCCCACGCCCGCGCCAGCGGGGAGGGGGGAGGTTTTGAACCCCCCACCCTTTGGGAGGGAGGGGGGGTGCGAGGGGGGGTGGCTTTGGTGGGGAGGGGAGTCCCCCGGTTTTGAACGACGGCGCCGGGTGCTGGGAGGGGCCACCCCCCCGCTCGAAACGCGCCGCCGAACGTTCTCAAGGCAAGCATCCGTGAAACGCGCTTTCTCGGAGATTGGGATATATATATATATATATAGCACGGAGGTTGCCAGGCCTTGTGCTCCCTGAAGGAGAAAAAACCAGGTGAGTGTTTCGTTGTTGCTCTCACAAGGCTCTGCGGTACCAGCAAGATTCTGTTGTAAACAAATTGGTATTAATGCAGTATGTATATATACATATAGATATATACCAGCGCTGCTAAGCATAATTATATATATATATATATGTATATCAGTGTTGCTAAGCCGGTTTGCGCGCATAGTATTATTTGATAAGGATGAGTGAGGGAAGACGCCGGCCTGTGCGGGATGGCGCGAGCCCATGTTTAAAGATGCGCGGTGGGGCAAAGCCATGTTGAACTTTGTTTCATACCAGGGGGGGCGCGACACCCGGGCGAAGGGGGTGGTGGTAGAATTTGTGATGTTTTGGGAACGAGGGCCCATGAGGTGTAACATACGTACTGCAATATATGTGGTGAAATGTTCTTCTGGAGTGCTATGCCTGTGGTGTGGTCTTTGTTGTGCAGGTTACGTTGTGCAACCCATGGGGTGCAATTCGCCTGGCCGAACTGGAAGGTGTC